CAACCCTTAAAAATAAATTCAAGTACAATGCTCTGCTGTCAGTTCAGTGTTCTTCATGAGTTCTTCATGTTCTTCTTATGCCCGTCTTGGAAATTCCAGAAGTTAAGGACCTTAAAGTAGTGGTTAGACTCTGCTTAGGCCAAGTGGCTTTGATCAAACTCTGAGGCAAATCCCAGAAAACCAAACATTGTCTCTGATATAAGGATGCTGATTCATAATGAGGATGGGGGCGGGGGTGTGTGTGTGGGAGAAATAGAGGAACTTTAGATAGGGCAAAGGGAAGCATAGGAAAGGGAGGGGACGGGGGATAGAAAAGACGATGGAATGAGACAGACATCATTACCCTAAGTACATATATGAAAACACAAATTGTGTGACTCTACTTTGTGTACAACAAGAGATGTGAAAAATTGTGCTCTATTCATGTAATATGAATTGAATTGCATTCTGCTGTCATATATAATAAATTAGAATAAATAAAATTTTTAAAAAACTTGGAGGCAAATCTACATCCTACAATATGATGTCTCTTAAGTAAGACACTAGATATTTTCTGTGTGGTCAGAAAAATTATCTTTAATTTAAACTGCTTGCTTGCCGTATCTGAAAAAATTGCTTCTTCCCCCTACCCCATCTTTATTTCCCCACTTCCCCACTCCTAGTAGTTTGTGTTGGTGAGAACATACAGACATTTCTGATGTGCTCCTCCTGCCCCTCCCCTGGCAAGTGCAGTGTTAGAGCACTGCAAAAACAAATCTCTGAAGAAAACTGGAGGTCTTTGAGGGAAAGTGCATGCAAGGTGCTCAGTAAGTATTTGTTGAGTTAATAATTTGGCTAAGCAAACAATTCACTTGAAAAGCAGACCTTTCCTTTTCTTGAACTGGAATTTGGATGAATGTGTCTTCTCTGTTGAAGACCATGAAGAGTTCTCTGCCTAGTAGGTAGAAGGGTGTAGAGAAAAGAAGCAAGGAACTGACAATTGGCAGTAGGAGCTAAACTCTGAAAAGAAGACCAAAGGGTCCACTCCAGTTCCATGCCCTCCTGTTGATGAGGCTATATGGAAATTGATTCAGTAGTAAAGGATCTATAAATGGGGCTGTGGTTGTAGCTCAGTGGTAGAGCACTTGCCTGGCATGTGTGAGGCACTGGGTTCCATCCTTAGCACCACATAAAAGTAAATAATTTAAAAAAAAAAAAAAAGGATCTAGGGTTGGGGTTGTGGCTCAGTGTTAGAGCGCTTGTCTCATACGCATGAGGCCCTGGGTTTGATCCTCAGCACCACATAAAAACAAATAAAAATATATTGTGTCCATCAACAACTAAAAAAATATTTTTTAAAAAAGATGTATAATTGACTAGAAAGAAAAAGGCATCTTAAGATATCTACTGGTAGTTTCTCTGCAATGTGCAAAATTGGTGACATCTTACAAGCCCTCTGAGAACTGGATCAGGTTGAGATGTAGTCCTGATGGCTGGAAATATTCTGACCTAGTCACAGGATACCCTGATTCTTTTTCTTGAAACACTGGAGAATTACCTCCAAGTACATTTCTAATTGGACTAGTGGGTTTTTTGTTTGTTTGTTGTGAGCTATTTATCTGCCATCTGCAGTCCAATCTAGTCATAGGCTGAGTCCCCTGGTCAGGATAATCTCACAAATGCTTGCTCTCGTTTACCTGTATTTTGAACAAATGTACACGCATGTACCAACTGCCAACCATGAACTCCACCAAGGACTGTAAGCAAGAATGCAATGATATATCCCCCTCAAGGAACTGACAGTTTAGAAGTAAAGATGAGATCTCATGAGAGAGGTATCCCCAAAGAAACCAAGCCAGTGCCTGAGGTTGTGGTGAATCTGCCATATCCCTCTTCTGTAGGCAGTGCAAACTAGTACAACCATCAGGGTAAAGTGAAACTACATGTGTATTCCAGTCACTCCAGCTCCATAACAAATTATCACAAAACAACAATAAAATAGCCATTTAGTATTTTCCTATGGATCAGGAATTCAGACAGGCCTCAAAAGGGGTTGGCCCCTTTCTGCTCCACAATGTCTTTGGCTGGAAGACTGAATCATCTTAAGACCTATTTATACTCTGTTTATGGGGGTCCTAACAGGATATAAACAGAGCACTTTGGCCTCCATGTGTGATATGGGCTTCCTCATAACATGGTGGCTGGGTTCCCAGAGCAAATGTCCTAAGTGAGAGAAAACAAGAAGAGGGAAGGAGCTAATAACAAACATCCTTAGAAGTTTCACAGTGTTTCTTCTGCTTCTGTCAATTAAGGCAGCTACAAAGAGCTGCCCAATCTTTTTTTTTTAAACATACTTTTAAAAAATATTTTCTTTTTAGTTGTAGATTTTTATTTTTATGTGGTGCTGAGGATCAAACCCAGTGCCTCACACATGCAAGGCAGGCATTCTACCACTGAGCTACATACAGCCCAAGCTCAAGAACTGCCCAATTTTTTTTTAATATTTATTTTTTAGTTGTAGTTGGACATAATACCTTTATGTTATTTATTTGTATGTGGTGCTAAGGATCAAACCCAGGGCCTTACACATGCTAGGCGAGTACTCTACTGCTGAGTCACGGTCCCAGCCTAAGAACTGCCCAATCTTAAGTAGAGGAAACATAGACTCCCACCACCACCACTACTCAATGGAGAAATGCCCCAACACACAGTGTGAAGGTAACATGGGATATATACACATATGTATACATGCCCATTTTTAGAAAATACAGTGTCAATGTGAAATGCAAAAAATGTGTATTTGTATTCTTTAATTCATTGATCCTAGGAAATTTTCTTCTATTCAACAGAAAAAAAATAGTTATGCCTAAGGTATTTATTGTATGTATTTATTATTTATCCATCTATCCAGTAAATACTGATTGAAGTACTTTGCTAGGTGCTAGGAATACAAAGAGAACATAAGGTAGCCTTCTTCCTCTCAAATAGCTTCTAGTGTGTAATAGCTTAATACGACCCATCCTAATGCCCAGTGATAAAATTATTTAATAAATCACAGTACACAATTCTATGAGATACAAGCTTGAGACAACATAATGAAACATTAGTAGACTTTTATTTTGATCCTTTAAAAAAATGGCTTTGAAAGACTATGTAGAATGATGGTAGAAATGTTGGATAGAAATGAAAACGGGGGGCTGGGGTTGTAGCTCAGTGGTAGGACGCTTGCCTTGGCATGCATGAGGCACTGGGTTCGATCCTCAGGACCACACAAAAATAAAAAAGGTATTGTGTCCACTAAAACTAAAAAATAAATATTAAAAAGAAATGAAAAATCAAAGTTGTGTGTCTACCATGACAACAATTATGTAAAAATATTCATGCAGGGCTGGCGTTGTGACTCAGAAGTAGAGTGCGCGCCTAGCATGCGTGAGGCACTGAGTTCAATCCTCAGCACCACATAAAGTAAAATAAAGACGTTGTGTCCACCTATAAATAAAAAAATAAAATATTTTTTTAAAATATGCACGCATATCACCAAGAACTAGAAGAAAATATCCAAATATGAACTCACTTGTTGAAGTGGGAATATAGAAGATTGTTTTTCTGTTTTCAGGGGTTTTTTTCCCCCCTAAAGTACTTTTCAATGTTATATTGCCTTTAAAATTGAAAAAAAAATCTAGATAAGAAGAAAAGGGGTACAAATAAAATTTTACAGATTAAGAGAAGGGAAAGTTCTTGTAAGTGAGAATCTAATGGGAGAGGATTCATGCAAGAGGTGGCATCTGGATTTTAGTAGAAGGAAGAAGTAGGAGTCAAGACATGAAAACAGGAAAAGATGTCTCTAGAAAACTATAGAGAAGCCAATCTGAGCTGGGTTTAGGGGCACATGGGATGATGGGACTGAATGGAAAACGGGGTCTGAAGTACTATAGGAAGGATCACAAATGTTATTAGGAGATACCCTGAAGCTTGTGGAGCAGAAACTCAAAGCAGTGCTGAAGGAGGGTGGCTCTGCCCACAGTCCTGCAGGTGGACCAGAGCGAGAACAGCTGATGAGAGAGGGGCTTTCTTTGAGGAGGCTACTGTAGTAACCCAGGGCCTGGCTTCCTGAGGTGGCAACGAAGAGAGAGCATTAGTTGAAGGATGACCACAACCAGTGCACACAACTCGAGGTTTCAGTCTCAGTGGTTGAAAAGATGGTGGCACAAATAACAGCAGTGAGGAAGGAAAAGGAGTGGAGCAGAAGAGAAATTTTAACCATGTCACCCTTGAGCTGCTATTGGAACATCCACGTGAAGATGGCAATGGATTGTCAGAAATCTGAATCTTAAGTAGGAGATCCTTACCTTAGGCAGAACACCTTGGATGTAATCATCCTCAGAATGTTCTTCCCTTGGCTATCTTTACCAATTCCTTCCTGTCTTCATTAAGATCTCTATCCAAAAAAAAAAAAAACTCTCTGGGCTGGGAGTGTGGTAGAGTACTTGCCTAGCCAGCAGAAGGCCCTGGGTTCCATCCCCAGCACTGGGGCAAAAAAGATCTCTGTCAAAATATCACTTCTGCATTCATTTTCATGGCATGTGACATGCCATCACCTCACCCTTTCCAACCCTTCATTGCACATACCTAAAATTCAACTTACTATCTGTGCCCCAACTAACAACCCCTGTAGAATGGAACCCTGACTTCATCCTCCTGTCAGAGGAACTGTTCACTAACTATGTAGCCAGACACCATGATGGATGCTTGTAATCCCACTAATTCAGGAGGCTGAGGCAGGAGGATCACAAATTCAAAGCCACCGTGATCAACCAATTTTGTCTCAAAATTAAAAGGGTTGGGAATATAGCACAGTGTTAGAGTGCCTCTGGATTCAATCCCCAGAAACACACACACACACACACACACAAACACACACACGTACACACAAAAAGCAACTCCACAAATTTCTACTGTGAATTTATGCAACAAACAGCATGTTTTTCTGACTCCTTTAGTTCAAGGGTTTATATTTTTCCTGCTATGTTATAGGTCAAAATTACAACCCATCTGGGCACAGTGGCAAACACCTGCAGTCCCAGTAGTTCAGAAGGCTGAGGCAGGAGTATCACAAGCAGGTAGTGTTGGCTTTTCTGGCTGCTTCAGCTTTTAGTTAAGATGCTTTTTCTTCTTGTCATGGCTCAGGAAAACTTAGAAGTGGTTTTAGAGATCAAGCAGTTGGACTGTCGTTTTACAAAAGGCCTGAAAGCCCACAGAAGGCCTGGAGTGCCCCCGCCCTGCTTGGTCCTGGCATCTGAGGAACCAGGCTGCTGTACTCTTTTCTCCTCTCCTTTCCCATCATGCTGGCTCTCTGGTGCCGGGTCACCAGTCTGGTCTGACACTCCTGGGACCTCCCATTGCCTCCTTGGGTCAGACTGTTCTTTCAGCTTCTGGTCAAAGAGACAAGAGGCTGCCCAGTCCTTGCCTCCCTTGAGTGGAAGTGATGGGACGACCTCATGGTGGCTGAGGAAGGAGAGTTGATCACGGTGCTGATTCTAGCTCCCTTTGAACCACTCAGAGTCTACCCCAAGATGGCTGGAGAGGCTGCAGGAGGCCTTCCTGGCTGGACCTAGCCTGGGTGCAGGCTCACTGGGATGGAGCTGGGGGCAGGCAACAGACCTTCATCCTGGGGAAGGCAGGAGGAGGAGGGGACGGACTAGGCCCTGGGGTTAATATAGAGCAGAAGAGCGACAAGGACAGATGAATGTGCCACAGGGAGCCAGGGGCAGGCGGGCGAGGTGTCAGATGGGCACGCTTTCCTCCAGGGGCAGGCAGGTTGTGCGAGAACTGAGGCGGAGGAGAAGGGAGTGATTAGCAAGTGGGGAGTGAGTCTCGCATCCAGTCCCCTGGCAGCCCCACACGCTGTGCGCCCTCCTGGGTATGGCTCCATGCCAGGCTGCACAGCTGGTACCAGAAAGGGGGCCAGGGCTCCCATGGGGCCTCTAGAGGATGAGCCTGGAACCTGGCTTCTAATGGCCACCTGCTCCTGGCTTGAATTCAGAGTCGCGTGACAGCTCTGCCTCTGGGCCTTGCTTGCTTTTCTTTTCATGGCTCTGAGCAGACCCTGAGCTAACAGGCAGTATTGCTCCCCACTGCCCTGGCCACCTCCATAGACTGAAGGCTTCTGGTTTCTAGGTTCTTTGAGCTGTGAGGGAAGCAGGAGCAGCCAGTGTCCCCCCACAGCACTCCTTTCACCTGGGCCAGCCCTGAGGAGGACAGCAAGGCCCAGGCCCACCTACTGCAAAGAGGAGAATCTGGCAGGACAGAGACCCAGAGAGAACATGGTTGTCCTCAACCTGGAGGGAAAAGGCACTCTAGAGACTCATACAGAGGTACTCTAAGTGTGGCCCTGGCCAGGGAAGCCCAAGGCAGCCATGGCCCCCCAACACAGCCATGCTGCCTCTCTGATGACATTTAGGTCACTAGTTTTCCATGATACGTTGAGTTGTGGGCAAAAGAAACAGCTGGTTTTAATTCCCTACCATGGGCTGAGAACTGCAGTGGTTCTCAGGTGGCCAGGTCCCTCATCCTGCAGCTGCACTCCTGGCCAGTGTTTTCCAGAGCTGACTGACCTCTCTTCCTCACCCACATGAAACCCAGGTTGACATTTCACTGAATTCTAGTTAGAGGTCCCTGAAAGGGTAGGAATGGGGACAGGGTGGCCATGGGCAGAGAAGACCCCAACTGTAGTGAGGGAACCTGCCACAAGAGGCCCCAGGATGAACCAGCACTCCCCTGGAGCTGCCATTTCTTAGGAGCTTCTGCTCCTAATGCTACCCCCTGCATAGGACCTGGGCAAGGAGAGGGATGAAGGGCCACAGTGGTCGTGCCATCCTGACCCTTGTGGCTGTTCAGGCAAGGTGCTGCCGGCTCTTCTGAGGTACCCTTTGGATGTGGGCAGTAACTCAGATGCCACATGCCAGGTGTAGCCTTTCAAGTTGTGCCAACAGCCCCAAAGGACCAGGAAGTTTTACATGCCCTTGTGGTGATCCCTTCTGTTTGCCGTCTCCTGCCAGAAACAGGGTGGGGAGAGGGGGTTGGGAAGCTGGAGGCCACCCCTCTCCTCAGCTAGCCCCAGGACAGGGAAGAGCCAGGGGTGCTGCACGCCCCATCTTTCCCCCGCTGCTAGACACTGCGGGAGGGGATCTGGCCTCTGGCACTCAGCATCCCTCCCCTGCCCTCTGCGTCAGTCTGCGGATTTATTGAACACTTAATCTGCTCAGGGCCTTGTCTGCTTCACCTTTGGCTGATCACTTTCTTTCCCTGTATCCATTTTCTCCGTCTGCAAAATGAGATCAATAAATCTCAGTGCTGAGGTACGAGGCCCCCTGACAGCAGAGCTGGTAAAGGAACAACAGCCAGGGGCCTTCACTCTTCTGCGCAGCCTGAGCCAGTGTGAGGCACTGACGCAGTTTCTCTCTAATGGCAAAGACGTGCAGAGAGTGAGTCATGGTCAGGACCCTTGTCTCCTTGCTGCCTCATGGCGTGGGTGACAAACTTGGCCTGTTCAAGTCACAGATTCACTGGAGGCCAGGAGTGAATGGGCTCCTGGTATATTTGGTGGGGGTGGGGGGGTATATATGGGTGTGGTATGCGTGTGGTTTGTGAGGTGTATGGAGGTTTGTGAGAGTGTGTGTGTGGTATTTATGGTGTGTAAGGTGTGTCTGTGTGTTCTGGTTTGTGGTGTGTGTGGTGTGAGGTGTGTGTGTGGTTTGTGGGGTGTGGGGGGTGTGGTTGGTGGTGTGTGTGGTGGGTTGTGAGGGGTGTGGTGTGTGTAGTACGAAGTGTATATGTGTGGTACTGAGCCACGGAGGGTGCTGCCTGGTAGCTGGAGTCAAACCATGGGAAATATCCCCATTTATTTTGCCCCCTGGGACTGCTCTAGGGAGGGGCTTTGGTTTGAATTCCTGATTGTGGTTCTTAAAGTGTGGTTTGCAGACTGGCTTAGAGCAGAATCCATCTGTGGGTTTTATGTAAAGTGCAGGTTCAGGCCTGACTCAGTTTACTGACTGAGAACCTCTAGGTTGGCGCCTCACCACCTGCACCTCAAGATCCCAATAGCTCTTCCTCACACTCAGGCCTGAGCGCCATGGCTGCAGTCGGTTGGGTTCACACAAACCCCTGCCTGCTCTGTGTGGGTCACCACTTGCCAGTGTGTACTTTCAGAGGTGGCAGCAGTCACCTCTATGGGTTACTGTCATCCTTGTGTGCTAACATTCTTGAATTTTTTGGGGGGTGGGGGTGGGGTAGAGGGTTAACCAGGAATTGAACTCAGGGGCTCTTGACCACTGAGCCACATCCCCAGCCCTATTTTGTATTTTATTTAGAGACAGGGTCTCACTGAGTTGCTTAGCACCTCACTTTTGCTGAGGCTGGCTTTGAACTTGCAATCCTCCTGCCTCAGTCTCCCAAGCTGCTGGAATTATAGGCATGTGCCACTGCACCCGGCCCATTCTTGAACCTCTGATTAGCCTGCATCACACTGCACCATTTTGTGAGTGGATTTGTTTCTTAATCATTTTATATCCTTGAGAGTAGACCCATTTCCCGTTTTTTTCTTGTTTCCTTTTCCCAGTACCTAATGTGGGTATAGTGTGTATGTGTGTGTGTGTGCGTGTGTCTGTGTGTGTGTGTGCGCACGCGCACGTGCTGGCCCAGGATTCATGTGTGCTTAGCATAGGCTGTACCACTACACCACACCCAGCCCCTGGTATGGGAGCTTTGCCCTCAGTCTGTGCTAAAGTATTTGCTGAAACAAAATGGTCACTTAGAGAGGGCCTGGAGGACCCTCAGAGCCATGTGTGGAGGAAGCCCTCTTTGCAATGGACCACATACCTTCAGCTAGGCAGCCGCCCCTTCCTGGGGTGACCTGCCTTGTCTGGCCCACCTGCCCTCCCCATGTGAAGATGAGGGCCAGGCTCCTTCCGGCAGATCCAGAGCAAAAGAAGACACAGCGGAGGCAGCAGCAGGTAGCACCCATGTCTTCATCTTCTAGGTGGGTGGGTGGGGGCTTGTGAGTCTGGTCACTTTGCCTGGCCTCAGTGCTCAGCCCTCCCAGCCCTCACCCCACTGCTTCCTGTCACGCCCAGCAGCAGTGAGAGCACCCTTCTGCAGGGAGAGGCCCTGGTGCTGCGACTCACCATGAGACTTCAGAGAGCAGAATCTGGGAGAGGGACAGCATGTCTTCAAAGCCAAGCAGCCCCTGGTGGGAGCAAGAGGTCTTGAGGGCTTTCATGATCTAAGGTTTCTCAAGCCTTTCACCTCCCCCTACCCTCATGTTGAATCAAATTTTAACTGAAACCTGTAAAGTGCAAAGTCTTGCAGAAATCATTACAAGAATCTTCTGGAAAATAGGGACTGACAACACTCCCTGCAGGGATGAGGATGAAAGTAATTCAGGGCTTACCAAGCCCTCTGGGCAACAAGTCCCAGGGCACCCAGCAGCCATCTTTGCCATCTCAGTGCTATCCTATTCATGGTCTCATTAAAAGAAAACCAAAACGGCCATATTGGAGCTGGACGTGTAGCTCAGTGGCAGAGCGTTTGCCTGGCATGTGTAAGACCCTGAGTTCCATCCCCAGAACTGAAAAACAAAACAAGCCATATTATTTGGCTCCCATATGGTCTTTTGAAATGTAAGAAGGACTTTAATCCATAGAACATTAAAGAATTAAATCACTTTGCAATAACAAGGAAGCTACCAGCTGGCCCTTACAAAGTGACCTTGCCAGAGTGGATGGGGAGTGAATGGCCCCACATGGGCCTGCCTTTCCTCCCAGGGAAGAGTGAGCAAGGGCACCATTTCAGGTTCCAAATTTACCCCCAAATGACTTCCCAAATGCAGAAGATTTATGCCTCTGAACAACTTATATCCAAAACATCACTGGCTTTCCTCATCCCACTGTCCCCACCCTAAGCCAGCCCCCTTCAGTTTCCTATTGCAGGTCAAAAATTCCAACATGCCCTTGTCAGGAAGTGTTGGCATTTCTAGGCCCTCAAAGAAGGCCCCCCAGAGGAACAGTATGGAAAAGTCTAAAAGGAGAAAATAAATTACCTTGGTAGATGAAACAAGAAAGTTCACCTCATTCTTCCCCCAAGCCTGAATCTAGGACGTGCCACTGCTCTTCTTGAAGCCACCTTTCTCTCAAGGGGAAGAACCCGACGCTAAATCTGTGGAAGAAAGATGAAGAGGCAAACTGCCCAACAGTCTGGGAGCACTCTAGTGGCACAAACTGGCCTGCCCCTTCTCTAGGAGCCACAGAGAGGGAGTCTAAATGTCTAGACCTGGGAGCACAACCCACAGTAGAAGATTCCCACACATGCTCCTCTGGCAATGGTGCCCTAACTTTTGTGTCCCCAGGAAAAAGAGAAAAAGGGGAGTGGAGAACCTTTGGGAGGCAGGATGGAAACTGGAGCCGGCCTTGGAAGCACTGTGAGGAGGCAGCTTGGGATCTGCTTTCCCCAAAAGGGCTGTTGAGGAAGCAGTTTGAGGTCAATCTTCCCACCAAATGATACTCTTGCAGACTGAGCCACTTGGCTGGCTCCCCTTTCATCTCGCTGCTCCACCCTGGGCTCTTTACAAGCTGTGGAAACTACTCCCTGGTACTTGCTGAGTAACTAAGGCCTCTTGACCAATGGTGCCCTTTTGGAGGAACTGGCCATTATCACCCTGGGTAGCACTCTGGCCCACTCAGGTTGGAGAGGTCCATCTGAGGTGTGAAGTGGTGAGGAAAATATCTCCCTGAAGGTGAGTAGTGATCCTGGGAAGAGCCCTCCTGATGTTGGCATTGGCTCAAGGCATGTGAGGGTGTGGGGCAGCTCATGTGGCTGGAACCACATGTTCCACAAGCTCTTAAATGTGGCTTTGTGGTCCTAGCAGTGTCTCACAAGACTCCTACCAGACACTTTTCTGATCACCCTTTTATAATTCTTGTACTTGATCTTCACAACCTTTTCAGTGGGGCCCAGGTGGTCATCAGAACCCTTCTGCCTGCTGGGCTGTTCTCCTCAGGACATGGCCCCCCACAGTTTCAGGCTCAGAGCCTATGAGTTCAGCAAGCCCAGAAGAAAGCAGCTCTTTTTGACTTAATTCTTTAAAAGAAAACCTAGAGAATGGCATAGACAACACTTGTACCTCCCACCCAGAATTGTCACATCATCCCATTATGTAAAATCTGTGCTTAAATTTTTTTAATGAGAAAGTTTTATTAAAGAAATACCAAAACATCAAAAACACTACCACCCAAGTCTTGACTTTCCACGATGCCCCATTGTATAGTCCCCTGGATGACTCAAATGAGAGACATTTATTCTCCCATAATTCTAGGTGCTTGAAGTCTAAAATGGAGGTGTCAGCAGGGTTAGTTCCTTGTGAGGGGCAGTTGGGTCCATGCTTCCCTCCTCACTTCTAGAGGTTTGCTGGCAATCTTTGATGTTCATCAGCTTGTAGACATATTACCTCAAACTCTACCTTCACATTTGCATATTGCTCTACCTGTGTGTGTGTGTGTGTGTGTGTGTGTGTCCATATTTACCCATTTTGTAAGGTTAACATTCATGTTGGATTAGGGCTCATTCTAATGACTTCATTTTAATTTGATCCTCTTTGCGGAGACCCTATTTCCAAATAAGGTGCTGTAGTTTAGGACTCGAACATATCTATTTTGGAAGGGATATCATTCAGCCCACCACACCACTAAGGACCTAACTTGCCCTGACACGTGGCCGCCATGGAGCCTTGAGGACAGCGTTGATAACTAGCCTGGGCAGAGTTGACTGTATCCCATCTTGGAGCGATCACAGGTAATTTCACAAGTCAGATGCAATTCACACCTCCATGTTCCATCACAGCAACCTGTCAACACGCCTGTCGACTTGGTTAGACACAATTTCCAGGTGTCGCAGGACCATTCAACATGTGGCAGGTCAGCCTTCGCTCAGCAGCAGGGACAAGCCTCCTGCAGTCAAATACAGAGGCTTTCCTAGAGACCCGGATGCTCCAGTAGCTTTCAATTTCTTACTCTGTGCCAGTGCACCCACGCCCGACACTCTGCCAAGCAGGCAATTCCAGCAAGAGTTTTCTCAAGATCTATTGCCCAAAACATACTTACGTTTGGCATGGCCATTTGTATTCCTTCTAAGTCCATTTTTGCATTGCTGACTTCAAGAAAAGCTAATTAATTATTTTAGACACCACTATTAAATTGACATAGTGATTAATCTGATAATCCTTTTTATGAAATTACCTCTGAAATGCTAACTTTTCATCTTTTGAAACTCACTGTGTAAATTACTCTGAAGATTACATTGTACCAGCTTTGGGCTCTGTAAATCTTAATGGCAGTTTTTTTTTTTTTTTTTTTTGCCAAAAGCAATAAAAGCTGTCCTGAATTTATCAGGTCAATCAGAAAAGAAGGAGGCAGGCAGGAAATTGAAGGTGACTCATGCTGCAAGTGGAAGTTTTGACTGATGGAACTGTTAGAACCTGCTATTACTGGTTAGTTAGGAGCCTCATGAAGCAGAGGAGCACGCACAGCCCCTGGTTGCAGATATCCCTGAGAGAAAAGCCAGCATGAGTCTGAGAGATGGTCCCCTCCCCTTCTCCCTCACCCCTGCATCTCCGCCCAATGCATAGGGCTGGGTCTCTCTCACTGCCACTAACTCTGCGCAATCCCAAAAATTCCTTGGTGTGGGGCAGGAGCATACCTGAGCTATTGTCTTCCACCCTGCTGAACCCAGTGGGCAGGACCCTGGCACTCCAATGGTGCTAGAGATACTGTTGCATAGGACCTTAAAGCCAGGCTGGAGCTACCAAGCTTGGTAGAAGTAGCAGTATCTACTTTTAGTCTTTTTGTTAAAGCTAGTTTGCTGCTTTTTTGATTTAGTAGTAACCCTTGTACATCTCTGTGTATGCCTATCTTAAGGCACAGGTCTCACTTGTCTGGAGGACAAAACCTGCTGAACCTGTGGTCCCATTTATCTACTGTTATAGTTTTGATATGAAGTTCCCCCAAAAGCTCCTGTTACTACAGGAATGGAGGTGGAATGATCAGATGAGAGCTGTGATCTAATTAGCCCATCCTAGTTTGAATGGATTGACCGGGTGGTAACTGTAGGTAGGTAGGGCATGGATGGAGGAGGTGGTCACTGGGGGTGTGCCCCGGAAGGGTGCATTTTCCCTGCCACTCCTTCCTTTCTCTGGTTTCCTGCTGCCACAAGGTGAGCAGTGCTCCATTGCTAGGCTTTCCACCGTGATGCGCTTTCTTACCTTGGTCCCAGAGCAACGGAGTTGGCCCTCTATGGACTAAATCTCTGAAATTGTCAGCTCAAAATAATCTTTTCCTCTTCCAAGTTGTTCTTGTCAGGGATTTTGGTCACTGTGATGAAAAGTTGACTAACCTACCATCCATCCATCCATCCAAGAGTGAGGCTCCAGAGAGCACAAGAACAAGGCAGATGATTCCGGTCCTCACAGCACTTCCATTTTACAGAGGGAGTCAGACAACAACAAGATGATCACAAAGTGAGATGGGAAGAGGACAGGGCTAGGGGAGGAGAGGGTATAGATACAACTTAAAATCAAGGCATCAAGGTTTGGTGACCTCATGGTGATACCCTCGCCGTGGCTCTGCCTCACTGAGATGACATTTGAATAAAGAACTGAAGTTGAGGAAATAAAGAACTGATGGTGTAAGTATGGAGGACAGCATTCCAGGCAGAGCCAGCCACCAGTGCCTAGGCCTCAAGAGGGAGTGTGCCTGACTAAGGAGCAGCAGGGAGACCTCTGGCTGGAGTGAGCCAAGAGACGAGGTAGGTGTTCAAGTTAGGGAAGTTTGGAATCTGTGGGCCATGGAAAGATCTGAGATGTGGCATTTCTGGATTTTTGCAAGGGAAAAGCAGGCCTATTTGCCTTTTCTTGTCTTTGCCCTTGGTTCTTTCCTGAAGGTATCTCCCAGGAAGACCACAAGCATCTGAGGTCTTATGTTAAGAGAGGAGGCCTGAGGCCTGGATTTCCTGAGCCTAGAAGCCTCACTGCCAGAGGGGGTTGTTGTCTAGCCAGGGGAAACTGAGCTAGAAGAATCCAGCTTCTGGCCAGCATCCCTGCTGCTAAGTCAGGGGCAGGTGGAAGCTACTCAGGTTCACTCAGCTTTGCTGGGACAGGAAGCTTACCCACCCACAGCTCCCTCTCCCACACACAGGTCAGGAATGGAATGAGTTTCTGAGGAATCTGACAGGAAGTCTTGAGAGGTGTCTGACCCCCTTCAGGTTGCTCCTGAGAGAAGGGCTTTGGTGATATGGCTTCCGTCAGTAGAGACTTCATTCAACTACTGGAGAGTGACATGGTGACAGTCTTGGCCTTCAGGATGGGAGGGGGTAACCCCTGAGACCCACACCCACGATTTCAAGCAGGAGTTATTCCGTTGTTCCCTGAGGCTCACCTCTTCCAGCAGCCATTGATCCCATACTGAGGGATCAGGCTCCAGAAAAACAGGACAGGTCTTGAGGAGTAAGATGGGGCCAGCCAGGTGCTCCCAGGGGAGCAGTGTCCTGCCCGCTCTCTGAGATGGGGAACTAGGGATCTCTCTGTTTCACACAGACTCTTGTTCGGGCCTGAGTCCCTGGGTCTCTTGGTCCCAGCTACGTGGCTGCCCCTTGGAAAGGCTTTCTGGAAAAGGGCAGTGAGGTGGGAGTGGGAAGGTCTGGGACTTTGGTATCTGTTTTCTGTTTCTTGGGTCGATGACTGCATTTTTGGTGCAAACCCACTCCTGGGGTGTCTCTGTCCCCAGGCCCTGGCTCATCTGCCACTCCACTAGGGTGCCCAAGGTCCCCTCTCCCCCCAACACCAGGCCCATGTAGTGTTCCAGAATGACTCCCACCGCGACCACGGTAAAGGCTTTTGCAGTGAATCTTTTTTTTCCCTCAGAAATTACACGCACACATCGGAGAGCCGTGTCGACCGCCCTCTGGGTTGCCATGGAAACAGAGCCTTCTTTCCTCCCCACCTCCCCCCTGTTTACCTTGGTCAGGGACTGCGGCAGAAATCAGCCTGTCGCGGGAGAAGGGGTGGGCGGCAAAGAGGAGGAGGGAGAGCCAGCCCGCCCTAAACCAGATCATTCCGGTTCGGAGTGGCTCCCCCTCCCGCACTGGGAGCCGCCCTCTGCAGTCTGGTGGCCGGGGCTGCGTAAGCTCCGAAGAGTGGCTCTGGTCCCTGAGCAGCTTTAATGGAGAGGGTCCGAGACTTCCATGCCAAGCCCCTGCCCCAGTTCCTCACAGGGTCCTTGTCTCCCTTCCTGCCGGGGCCTGGCTCTGGGTAGCCTCTACAGGAGCTGCCCCAAGTTGTGGGCTGTTTGTCCTGAAGGATGTCACTATGCAAGAGTCCGTTGGGGCTGGGGATGTGGCTCAAGCGGTAGCGCGCTCGCCTGGCATGCGTGCGGCCCGGGTTCGATCCTCAGCACCACATACAAACAAAGATGTTGTATCCGCCGAGAACTAAAAAATAAATATTAAAAAAAAATAAAATAAAAAAAAAAGAGTCCGTGCTCAGGGTGGGTGACTGAGCACCCCGGGTGCCCAGGCCTAAAGTGGCCGGGACCAGGGGCTTGCCTCCTGCTGGCACGCTCCCTGTGGCGCCAGAGGGGCCCTTGGGTGTGGCTGTTGGGCTGAAAGCTTCCCGTGCTGTTAGGCTAAGTGACCAGCGATGCCACAGCTGCCCGCTGCCTCTCCTTCCTCACTTCCCACGCCCCTTCCTGGGCTTCCCCTGGGACGTGGCACCTGAAGGCACCTAGAGCTGGGTACTGTGTCTGGAAACAGATGGAGTGTGCCACTTTCCAGCACCCTCGAGTACGGTGGCTCGGTCCTTGGAGGCTTTCGAGAACTTTCCACACTGCTCCTGGTCAGCCTCCTCCCCTCCTCCCATGGAAGCTCCCTGAAGGCAGCGCCGTGTCCCGGGTGCATCTAGCCCCGCCCGGGGGCAGGGCAGTATCGTGTGCTCAGTTAGCAGCGGCCCAAACAAGGGCCACCGCTTAGCCTCCCCGAAGCGGTGGCCACCTCCTGGCGGAGCACCGCCGGGCTCCGCTGCTCGCTAGGGGGCGGCAGAGAAGCCACCCCGCAAGGCTTTTTGGAGACGACTTGGCGCGAGCACGAGGCCATCTTGTTGCGACTTGAAAACCGCGACTTTTGCTCTCCAGCTATGTGTGCGGCGGGCATCCTGCCCCAGCTGGCAAGGATCGGGGGCAGGTGGGCGGCTGCGGGCAAGGTGGCGCTTTGGGGACTCCCCGCGCACCGCTAGCAGCACAGCTTCACCGACCAGTCCCGGGCTTCACGGTGCTGCTAGGCTGCTCCGCCGTGAGCTCCGCCCACCCCGGGAAGTGTCCCTTTTTGAGAGCCCTGTTGGTGGCGATGCAGGTTAATCGGCAACCGGGCGGGGAGGGTGCAGGAAGGATGCGAGTTCTTAAGCATGTGCCTTCTTAGGATCAGAGGCTGCTCATCCTTTCTCTGGGCTTTGAGGGCCAGGGAACTCCCTTGGCAAACCACTTACCATGGCTAGCCTTGGCCTACCAATCAGTGAAATGGGGCTAGGATTTCCAGGCATACGTTCCTCTACAGATTGGCTGAGAAGAGAATGCTGGGCTACCAAGGCACAGCTTGCGGGTGTGGTGGGGTGCAGAAGCAGATGGAAAGCGGGCGATCTAGGCCTGAACGTCCCATTGTGCAAGTAGCTCTGAGCAACCTCCATGGTCATCGTTCTTAGGGATCATGTCTTTGTGGGTAGTGCAGGATGAGCAAGGGACAGATGCTGACACCCTGAACCATATTCTGATCTTGGTTGTCTTCAGGATGACCTGGTTCTGGTGATAAATAAGAGCCAGATGCATGCTGGGTGTGGTGCTGACCACCTGTAATCCCAGCGACTCAGAAGCCTGAGGCAGGAGATTTGCAAGTTCGAGGCCAGCCTGAGCAATTGAGCTTGAGACCCGTCTCAAATTTTGTAAAAAAGGTTTGGGGATTGAGTGGATAAGCGCCCCAGGGATCAATCCCCAGTACCAAAAAACACAAACACAAAAAAACAAACTCCAGGTGCAGCAGATTTCTTTGGGGTTGTGCGCTAGGTAAGTTTGCTTCCTTACAAGGGGTGGAGAAGATTTGGGGACACACCCTTGGCAGTCATGGTAAGAGCCTCCTCAGCTCCAGAAGCCAAGCAGCTTTAGTATAAGAAGGATAAACTGATCTGTCTGTGGGCCTCTGAGGTGACAAACTGAATGACAGCTGTTTTCTCTTCTCACAGATGCCATTTGCAATAAATACTGTTCTAAAGATCCCCGCCTAGTGTGGAGTCCCCAAACAGTAAATGGCTAGCGCTCCCAGTCATCTCTAGTCTTCTCTTTCCTGGGGCTGGAGCTGGGCTGCAGGGCTTGTTGCCCCTTGACTCAGGTCTTGCCGTTCCTTCCTGCCAGGCTGCCTGCGCCTTCCAGTTGATCTGTCTCACTTTTTGCATTCAAGGTTGCATTGGCAGGACCCTGGGCAAAATGAGCAAATCACTGGGTATGCTTGGTATGCCACTAAGAAACCCCCAGGGTCCTCCTCTTACCTGGCTATGGAGTGTATCAAAGAACAAAAAAAACTCTGCCCTTGTTCTTGAATAAACGATGGTAAGGAACAGACTGGGCAACAGGATAGGACCACACTTAAACTGACAAATTGTGATTTTTCTTTTTTTTTTTTTTTTGGGGGGGGAGACCAGGGATTGAATCCAGAGTGCTTAACCACTGAGCAACATCCCCACTCTTTTTATACTTTATTTAGAGACAGTCTCATTGAGTTGCTTAGGGCCTCACTAAATTGCTGAGGCTGGCTTTCAACTCACGATCCTCCTGCCTCAGGCTCCTGAGCTGCCTCGGCACCCAGCCAGTTTGTGATTTTTGTTTATGTTTTGTTAGGTACTGGGGATTTAACCCAGGCTTCCTGTATTGGAGCTATATCTCCAGGCATTTTATTTTTTATTTTGAGACAGGATTTTGCTAAGTTGCTGGGGCTGGCCTCAAACTTGTGATTCTCCTGCCTCAGCCTCCCAAGCACTGGAATTACAGGCTTGTGCCATGGTGCCCCTAACCGTGTATTTTTAAAAAGCCCCTCCCTTGCTCTTTTTTTTCTTCTCACTAACCTCTAGGATTGGTTATTAAGTTAAAAATTCTCAAATGCCAGTGGAGCTGAATCTGAATAATGAGAGACTAATACTCTTTGAGTCACCCAATCTGAAAGTCTCACTTAGAAGAAACCCACATTCATAGTATTACATACAGCTCATTTCTTTCTTTCATTCTTTCTCTCTCCCTCTACCCCCGCCCCCAATCCCCCACCCCCTTTTCATAGTACCAGTGACTTAACCTAGAGACACTCTTCTACCAAACTACACTCCCAGCCCCTTTTAACATTCTTAAAAAAATGTTCAGACAGGGACTAAGTTGCCTACAGTGATCTCAAACTTGCTATCCTCCTGCCTTAGTCTCCCAAATCTCTAGGAACACAGACTTGTACAACCATGTCCTGCTCATTGCTTCAATTTGAGACATTCCAGGTATCCCCTGTTTTGCTGTGGAATGGAGGACTTGACTCCTTTATATCCCCACCTCTCCTCCTCATCTTATGTTTAGTTTCCTTATTGGTTAATTTTCTACTTTATAGTAAATATTTCACTTTCATCAGCTACCAAGAGCAGCAGTAGGTCAATAACCATGTAATGTGTACACAGCTACTCATTTAAGCCCCACAAGAATGTCAAGAGATAGGATATTATTATTATTAGTTCCATTTTAGGAGGAAACTAAAGCCATTTCATTGGCTCTCCAAGAAGGGGAAGAGATAAATATGTGTGGCCAGTGTGTCATCTTGACACTGAGTTCTGACAGGGCAAGGGCTGGTGATATTCACTCTTGGCTCTAGAGTTCCATGCTGGACAATTATGACAGGATTCCCAAATGTCTTAAGCCAGCTAAATCCAAATCAACTGAGTTTGTTAAAACAACACATCTACTATACTGAATCTCTGTGATTTGGACCCAGGAATCTGTATTTTTTTTTAATATTTATTTTTTAGTTTTCGGCGGATACAACATCTTTGTTTGTATGTGGTGCTGAGGATCGAACCCGGACCGCACTCATGCCAGGCGAGCACGCTATCGCTTGAGCCACATCCCCAGCCCAGGAATCTGTATTTTTAACAACCATGCACCACATTTTGGAAACAGTGGGTCAGGGTGGGCCTGGCAGCTGGCCTTGTTCTATTTCCTACTCTATCCACAGCACTCATACTCAGAGCCTGCACCTCACAAGTAGGGATCCAGACTGTGGCACTCATGAAGGAACTGCCTGGCCTGTGCTGCAGGCCACCAAGCACCACAGTGGGACCAACTATCTTAGTATCAAATCAAGGTGCAGAAGTAACTCTATTCCAGGCCTAGCGCTGTATAGATGGATGCTCCAGGCCTTTGGCCAAGCATCCTAATGGCAAAATGTTGAATCTGAAAGGGATGTGGGGGATTATCTAGCAAACCTCCTCTTTGACCAATGAGTTAACCAAGGCCCAAAGTAAAATGAGTTGCATTCAAAACAGGATTATTATGAACTGGGCCAAGAGCAGAGCCCTGGTGTCCCAATCCCTGGGTCATCTCTTTCTAGAATTGTCCTAATAGGTAACCACATGTGGTTATTTACATTTAAAAAAATTTAAATTACCAAATTCAAAATTCAGTTCCTCAGCCACAATAGTTACACATGGCTAGTGGCCACCACCCCAGTGGATGGTGCAGATACTGAACATTTCCATCACTGCAGAAAGCACTACTGGTTCAGAACCTAGGCCTTTCATCTGAAAGCACTACAGAAACTGGGTGGTTTTGCCAGTGTCCTCTCCCTTCAAGCAACAACCGAGGAAGATTACCTGCAAGGGAATGTGTTGTACTGTTCAATCATGATAGCTCAGTAACAGCAGCCTGACAAACTAGAATCATAAATGTAACTGGAAGAAAAAACCACCCCACTGAAACCTCTTCCTCTAGGCCAAGATGGGGCTAAATGTCTAAGAACCCAGTCAGAAGCAAATAAGAGTCCATTTCAAAGCTCTGACTCATTGAAATCTAAAGGTACAGGGGGGCTTACTTCTTAATTCTGGTAGATCTGAAGGGAGTACATTTTTGAAGAGGTGGTGGGGGAGAAGACAACTTGTGATACATGTCAAGTATTAACTGTAAGGTGGGTAAATAGGAAGAAATTGTTTCTTTTTCCTTGTAGATTTACATTGTAGTATCTAAGCTTACTTATCCTTGGAAGGTATGTTTGATCCATAATTAGCCAATAGAAACATTGAAAATTAAGAGGTATATTTGCAATTCTGGAAGGGAGACCTTAAAAGTGACCAGACTTGGAATGTCCTTGCCTACTCTGGACTTAGTGGATTCGGGGTGACAAGTTTTGGAGAAGCAGCATCTGGAAGACTAAGGCCAGAGGCAGGAACTATGGTTTCATCCCCTGAAAAGCCCCCTGCACGGGGCTCTCCTCCTGTGATGGCTTTTCCCTTGGACTATAAAGTCCTATGACTCTCTATGTAGAGATTTCCATTTTCCTTTCAAATTATCTGAATCTCCCCCAACCCTTCGAAAAACTCTTGATGTACCCATACAAACTTGCCCAGCAGTTGTTTGGAGAATACAGGATGGGCAGCTGCTTCCTTGCTGAGGTCCTTGTGGAGGGAGTAGCTTTCTCCTGAGCGAACTACTACATGTCCAGGAGTTCCAGATGGTGAGCAGACGGAAGGACCCCCAGGAGGCAGATGACTCTCAGATATTACAGAAAAAAGCTAACCCACAGGGAGATGGTAAAGGGATTGATGGAGATGGTGGGATTGATGCTTATGTCAAACAGGTGAGTCCATATACATACAAATGACTGTCAGACAATCAAGGTGGACTTGAACCAAATAGATTTGGATAAGATTTATTGATCAGATTGTTTTAGAAAACCAACAGGAAAACACTGACAAGGTACATAAATACAGATTGGACATTTCAGGGTAAATTCACTACATTTCCCACTTGATTGTAGGAAACCAGGGAAGGTGGAAAAGCTGTCCTGGTCATAAGGCATGCACACCAGACTGCAAAAGGACTTTCACACTATTTAACAAGACTGTGGCAAAAGCTTTAAAGTAAGGCAAGCATTGTGTGTGGCCTAAGCATACCCTGCAGAAGAGCTCGGCCTAGGCTCACCCCTCAGAGACAGTTTCAGAGACAGGCTTCCCTTTCTTGTCTGGATTCTTCCAGTCAATGACTTGTCACTGGCAAGTATCTTTACTGGGAGGTGCCTGGGCTCTCCCTGCATAGACTCTGCACCAGGAAGTGGCTTTAGAGAGTCAGAGTGTCTCCTGACGCTTCCTTTGTATTCTATACGTGTAACTAGTAAAATAGCAATTACTACTACCTGGTGAACTTGCTATTTCTCTGAAAACTGTCTTTGACTCACCCTGTACATTGACTAAGCAGGGCCTTTAAAAAACATCTCAAAAAGTAAAAATTAAAAATTGAAAACATAAAAATTACACCAAAAGGTGGTACCACTTTTGAAGCACAACTCAGAACTTCTGTTTATAACACCAGACAAGGGAAGAGGTCACTTTCCACCAAATTTCACGACGATAGAAGGGAAATTTCATTGCTGGATATAATCTGGTGGCGACATATGGAGGTTCCAGAACTCTACTGAGCCTACCTCAGGCCCTGCCAAAGCTCCTAGAGTCCCAAGGTATTTGAGGAACCAAAGCAATTTAAACCAACGGTGACCAGTTTTTGGAACTTATGGTCATAAGACCATAAACCCTCATCTACCCCGGAGCTCAATGCCAGAAAAATGGGACGAAAAAAAAAAAAAGGAAGCAACAATGGCTTTTGTGCTACATCAGAATGCTGGCAGATAAACAATCCGGTAACCTGTGCTACTTTCTAAACATCTGTAAGACCACATGAAAATCAACTGGTATTATAGGCTGTAAAGACCAACATAGTCAGAAAGGACAGACCAACCTTTCCTATATGCCAGGCAATTGGGAGATATAACTGGAGAAGGTATCTCCAAAGGAAAACAAAAAACAACAACAACAAAAAAAGCAAGGACTCGTCAAGAGTCAAAGCAATGTGTTCAAATGATGGAATTTCCTGTGTCATACACAGCTTTTTTCTTCCCACAGGTGCCGAGTTCTTTGGTAATTGAAGAGCGACAGCCTAGAACTCAGGGCAGGAGATGATGCTGAAGAGTGACAGCTAAACTCGGGACTGCACCTGTGGCTCCTCCACTCAGTGTTCAGCAGTGCCAGGTGGACCAAGTGTAGCTAACCAGGCTGCTCTTGTGTACGCTGCTTGCCAGCCCCTCTGGGGGTCTTCCTTTCCCTTTTCTAACTACTCATTCCATTGAAAAGGAGGTGCGTTTGGCACAGGGACGGGAGGGAGAAGAAATACAAAGGAATTAATTGTTTGATAGAAAAGTTGAAACACTGACTATTATCTATGGATTTCAATTATCTGTGCTTTACTCTTGCTACTGTGGGTAACCAAAGGTCACTGTCAATGTACCTTTTGCTTAGAAATGTTAATATGTTTATTATTATACTTTTAAATCTAGTTATGTAATGGACAGGAATGGTATAGAGCAAATTTTTACATCATGTCATTAAGACCCTGAAAAAAGAAGAATCTGCCAATGGAAAGGATTTTATTTGGCTCCTGAAGAACAGTTAACATTTTATTCTAACCTTTATCAGTCTGTAGTTTCTCCAGGGTGTGGAAAATACTTTATTAAATGAAAAAAAAGCATCATTTTCATCATTTAATAAGGTATTACATTCCCAGATAAATAGTGTATACGTGAAAAAACTGATAGTGCCAAATATTAGGTTTTGATTCCCCATGTAGGAAACACTTCCTTGTTCCTGGGCAAAACACACAAACATGAGATAGTATAAAGAGGTGACTGGGGAAAAAAATTCTCAACTCTAACAAACCCAGGGAACAATAAGTCTCTATGACCTGGAGTAAGAAAATATGGACTTGAAAATCCAGCTTTACCAAGATTTAGCTTAAGCCAGCTGATCACATCAAAAATTCTAGGCATAAGTTTACTCTAAAGCAATGAGCTGGCTTCACCAACACAGATACAAAAAAGTAGTGTAGCTGCTTTATAGTCACATCCTCTATATAATCTGTATATATCCATATGTGTTTCTATATATTGCACTTCAATTTCCAGACTGTAGGAAGATGACTGGGAATACCTCAAAGAGGCAGAGGAGCATCAGGCACAAGCTTTCCCACATCAAGTAATGGTGTCGGGAATTCCAAGTGCTGGTTATAGGTATACTAAAATGCCTGGTGACTGTTACATAAAAGTCCAGTCATCTTCATTTAAATCACCATACACACAGTCTCATTTGGCATTCAGAACTTGTGCATGTGAATAGCACTCAGAGCTGGTCATACTACATAATTTTCACAAGTGTTATATTCAAAGAAGACACCGTAGACTAAGGATGTGCACTTTCATGAAAATGTCACATGCAAGGTCTTCAATGTCAGGCCTCCAAGATCTATCTCAAAGAAAACTGCCCTCGGAAGGCTTAAAAAGGATGCTGGCAAGTGTGGACTGTTTCAGATCCCCTCTCTCTCCAGCTTTCTGGTGCAGCAGAGCCAGAGACCTGCTAATATTCCAAGGACCAGGGAAGTCTAGGCATAGAAGCTAAGCATTCAGTCTTTGGTCCCTGCAAAAATCAATGGAAAAAATCCTTTTGCCACCCTAGACAGCATGACTTGGTTGGTTTCGGATGTAATCCCAACAAATGCCCAGAGGCAGGCTGACGTCATGCATCAAAGCTCTGGAGAGAGCTCCTCTGAGGAACAAGCCTAGCAGTGGGTGGTAAGAGGTTAAATGCCTCACTGATTGGGAATGGCAAGAGGTGGGGGCAGGGGACCCCTAGAGGAGCTGTCCTTTTCCTGCCTCTCCCTCACATTCCTTACTCCCCAGGAAGGACCCAGATTCACAGATAAGTGTTTATTACAAGACTCTGCAGAATACAGGTTCCTCTGACACAACCCAACAAGAATGGGATATAATAAGGCCTAGAAGTTAAGAGTCCAAGTCTATAGGCCGCAGTTTCTCTTCCCCAGAACTGAACACTAGATGGTATCTTTTTATCCATAATAAGTCAAAGGTGATTTTTAAATCCACACATAAGCTAAAGAGATCCCTTCTGGGGTAATGGGGGGAAAAAAAAAAGAATCACTTTAAAAGCTAAGTGAAAAAGAGGCACTTAAAGAAAAATGTGTCCCACATCTCTCACATGAATCTCCCTCTGTGAGGGGATGGCGGGAGGTTCAGCACTGTGCCTTCTTGCATGCTTCAGCACCTTTGAGAACACCTGTGCACATCTAAATGCTCATGGCAAGCGACTGCTCAACCTCTCTAGCAGCCTGCTGGCAAAACAAGTGAAAACTCATGTCATTTTTCTTTTTAAAACTAACAAATCAGAACTAAAATTTCACACACGAGAAAGCAAATTCCTTCCTTGCGCTAAGTATCTGATACTTGGGTTTCAGGAAGGATGACCTGTGGCTTTTCCCTCAAGACCACTTATCCAATTATTACACAATTTCAGCACCATGCGCATTAAAGCAGACAGAAAAGGAGACAGAGCAAGCTTCGGGGAAATTTGAGGACCAACTGCCTAAGGAAATGGCAGGTACATGGTCCACAGATTAGAAAAGAAGCAAGATTTGAAAAGGAAATGGCCAGTGTGACAGTCAAAGGCCATCATTCCGAACAGAAGCCAAGTTATCAAATCTGAAGGCGCTCTTTGCCTGCTCTCCTGTTCTGTGGCCATTTACACCACACATTTCTTCCCCATGAAGAAGTCAGAGAGATAAGCACAGGAGAATTTCAAAACTGCCCAGAAAGAAGAACTTGAACAACATTAAATTTCTCAATTTAAAATATTCTTGGTGCCATAATTTCTAAGAGCAACAACAAAGACCACAACTCACATAGAAGTCTCCTGGACAAACCAACTCTAACAACTGCTGGCACCGTAAGGAAGAGAAAAGATATCATTAACCAGGAGTTACTGTGCTGCTTAACTTTCCTCCAAAGTCAAAGGTTAAGCTTAGGTATACATGCAGCAAGATGTCAATCACTGCTGCCATGCAATCCAACTACTCAGACACACCTTGAAAATACCAAGTTAAACATCCTGGTTTTTAAGAATAACCTGCAAGATTCTCAAGGTTAGTTTTCTCAATCTATCCCCCAAACTACTTGTAGCTGTTACTACGTTTTTATTTTTGTTTTTGTTGATGATGTTTTAATCTGTAGAGCATTGGTTGACATGGTCATTATGCCCAGAATTCCTTTTAAAAAATTTCTTTATCTTATCTTGATCAATGACATTATTAAAGTACTTTTAAACTTTCCCTCAACTCCATCAAGAAAGAGAAAGTATGTGAGTATGTGGGTATGTATTGAGGCAGGAGGAAGAGAAGCAAAGAAGAAAGCACATGGAAAAGTGAGATGTCCATAAACTTAAAAACCAATTTACAGAAAGGCATCTGATGTATTTTCTGAATAAGGCCTTGATCAGGGTAACCAATTCTCTTTGTAGCACATCCTACACTGCCCATAAATAAAGGAGTCTCTTTAAATTAACATTTCCAGCATCAATGAACAGTCCAGATATCCTCATTTCAAGCGCTCGATGAGTCCCTGTGTTAGTCCAAGGTGCAGAAGCTGTATTTGGGAGAGGTTTGCTAGGTTGGGGAAGGCCGCGAGCAGCTTCTCCCATGCCAGTTCCAGCAAGCTAGGTACCACCAGCCAGATCTTAAACAAAGACCCAGTCCGCTTGTTTTCGTGGATGTTCACCACTCCTCCATGAATGTACATGCAACCAGCCTATGAACAAATGGCAATCAAAAGAGGACAAATTCAAACGGAAGAGAAATAGACACCAGTGCTGAAGACTCAGCAAGAAAAAAATTAACAAAACAAATAAACCATAGCAAATTAAATCCAATGAGTTGAAACAGAATTTCTCAGGCTGTGCATGTAGCTAGCTCAATGGTAGAGTACTTGCCTAGCATGTAAAAGGCCCTGGGCTGGATCCCAGGTCTAAGAAAAAATAAAAAAATTTAAAAAAAGAAAAGAAGTTTTCACTGATCCCAACATATACAGAAATCAACAGAGTTTAAAAAAATGAATGGGTTACTAAAAAAAAAAACTATAGGTGTGTGTATGTGTATGTGTGTGTGTGTGTGTGTTTTACTTCAACAACAAAAAACTTCACTATTAACTAACATTAAATTTTTAAAAACTTTTTTTTTAGATGTTGATGGACCTTTATTTTATTCATTTATTTACACGCAGTGTTGAGAATTGAACCCAGTGTCTCACACATGCTAGGCAAGCGCTCTACCACTAAGCCACAACCCCAGCCATTAAATTTTCACTATTCTAAGTACCCCAAATGCTAAATGTTGGGAATACAAAATTGAAAATAAAGGTCTCTGCAGTGACATATTCAATAATATGGTACAGGAGAATAAAGTTATTTTACCCTCTCAGGAAACACCTTTGATATCACTGCCAGGACCTAAATGCCATATGTAGTGTTTCTTTTACATTTATGTTGTTTGTTTAAACTTGGGTATGTTGGTATTTTCCTCCTCTTTTCTCAGAGGAAAGGCTAGCTTCAAAAGGAACTTTTAAAAACAATTCTTAATTCAAGGTTTGCCAATATCGGCATTTTTTTTCTAAAAGATTTTCTTATCATCTACAACTACATAAGGAAGATACAAAAATAAGAACTTACTGGTGTAACAGCTGCACAGTGAAAATAAACTGGCTCTGGCATGGTAGCAGGAAGCTTCACCCATTGAAATGTCTGCAGATTCAACTTCCAGATATCTCCCAGGATCACTTCTCCATTATAGCCCCCACAAATGAATACATCTATCAAAAAAGAGAAGGCCAAGATCACACAAAGGAAAAGGGCCAAAGCTACAGCATGATTTACAACAGATCACAAGGCTGGCTGACAGTTAAGGGGATTGCCCCATAAGAGAGAGGACTTCAGCTGTGTGGTCCATCATGCTACTGGCTTGTCCTTCAACAGAATTGGGATACTGTGTTGGAAGAGTCTTTGGGGGGCAGGGGCTAAAGCTTTTTAGGAAGTTTTCATATCAAGCCTTTCAAATTCAAATACCTCTAGGTTCCAGGCAAGGGGTTGAGGGGAAATAAATGACAGGAAGTCTCAGTACAATATATAGGAGTACTCATGTTCTAAAAGAGAGCTGGCTATGATTAGTAACTACCAGATCTTCCATTTTTCAAGAGAAGATGAAAATCTGGATTTTTTTTTTCTAATGAAGTATTTTAATTATAAGTATTGGCCACTAATTCAAAAGAAATTTAATGCACATAGGAGCCAAACAAAACACATCTATAGATCTCCAGTTGCCAAGTTCTTCTTTTAAATAATGTTCTGGAAAGTACGTACATTTATTTGCCCACAGAGACTAATGTCCTCTATATGGATTCCCCCTTTCTCATACTGGGGATTGAACCCAGGAGCTGTTTACTTCTGAGCCACATCTCCAGTCCTTTTTATTTTTTGAAACAGGGTCTCGTAAAGTTGTTGAGGGTCTCTCTAAGTTGCTGAGTCTGGCCTGGAACTTGCAATCTTCCTCCCTCAGCTTCTGTAATCACTGGGATTACAGGTGTACACTGCTGCGCTCACTTTCCCTGTAGACATTTAACCTGAGAAGTACTCAGTGCAATGTGCAGCTTGGGGACACAAAAGAAGTTCTTCTAGGCTTTCTTTAGTTGAAAGAAGATATTCTGAAGCTCTATTTGATCTGTACAGCTCTTTGTCAGAAACACAATTTTCCCCAAAGGAAAGGTGGAATTTTAATTTTGTTTTTGTAAAACCATTTAGTTCTAACTAGTTAGTCAACTTGTAATAAAGACTATGTGAACAGTCTAACTAAACGCCCAGAATCAAGGCTGAATTCCATTTGTATGGTGCTTGGCTTCAAAGAATCAAATGAATAAATATCTTAATTCAGGTCTAAATCAAGTTTAAACCAATAATTAATTAAACTATAAAATACATCACAATTTTTTTGGTTAGGATTCAAGGAAACCTTTTAAGAACAGCTCCATTCTCAGAGAGGCAAAGCTGAACAATGACAGTATCTATATATCCTATCCCCAAAGCAGAGCATAACAAAAAGCCCCTCTGTACTAGAAATGGTAGAATAATTCTGGTTAAATATGAACTAAGCTGTTGAAAAGATACAGTCTATCCGGCTCATTTATATACACCTTCCTGGAGTGGGGGAAGCACTTGAGGAAGTATATCAAAGAATAAAATAAACTGTAAATGAAAAGACAGGAAGTATCCCAAAAAGAGTCATTATCACACTCAGATAAAGGAGCTGCTACTGCTTTCTGAAGCCATACAATGCCTTTGTTATAATATGGCCAAAGAATGAACTGAGTTCTATTTGACATTAGTCAGAGAACAGGATAAACTTTATGAAATAATACTCTGAAGGAGTTACTATCATTTTAATACAATATCTACCAAGGTTTCCACTATATAAGCAATCACCGTGTTATAAACGTAACCACAGATATCTATTGAGGTCAGATGCTGAAAGATTAGGTGTACAATAAAAGCTTATTTATTGCCAATTTTTGAGTTCTCTGATAACTGAAGGAATCCAGACACTAGTTTACATCATAACAATTGCTAAGAGAGGCATGACTCTATAGTTTTCCCTTTAAGTTTAAACTATCAGAAATAGATTCTTCCCAAAGTTATGAACCTCTTTTGAGAAATTATCATTAAGAAATAAGTCATTCTCAGCAGATACAATTACAGAAATGGATCAAAATATTATTTAGAATCCTTACCATTTTTTATTTGAACACAACTGTGACATCTTCGGGCTGCAGGAAAACCTGCCAAACACACATAAAAACAGAAATTCCATTATTCCCAGAAAGATAAGGAATGATGTTGATATGACACAGTGAAAGACATATTTGTAAATAACTCAAAACAATCCCTTTTTTGTATTAAGCAAACATTGACTAGTCCTTCCAATCCTTCCTTATTTCAAAAGCCATCAAAACTTCTCTCTTTATAGCAGACAATGCTAAGATGCCGGGGAACAAAGTGGGGTGCAGGGACAGGGGTTACTAGTGGCTTTCCCCAACCCTTTTACTCATGAAGAGTTAGGGAGATCTTGATTTCTCTTCCCACCCACATTTCCCCACTTCTGCCACAGAATTCGATAATCCCTGGTAAAATTCTTTGCTCAATTGCTAAGAAAGAATAATTGTGCTAAGGAAGAAGTGATTTCTAATATCAGTTAAACAGATATTTTACTTGCCATGTAACTCAAGAAAATTACCCCCCCCCAAAAAAAACACAAGTAAAAGTATAAAATAAATTTGTTAAATGAATTAATACTTTTAATTTACCTATTTTTTCATGAGGTTTTGTTGCAATTTCCTCCCATGCATTGGTTTCAAGGTTGTATGCATGTATCTTGGGCGGGAAAAAAAGAACATATATACAGATAAATAACTTGCAATTTTAATTAGCCTGAAAATGTTTTTTTTTTTTTAAATAGACATATTTTTTAGAGCAGTTTTTAAAAAAACTGAGCACAAGGAACAGAGATTTCCCATATAGAATAACTTATTTTTTTTTCTTTTTTTTTGTGGCGCTGAGGATTGAACCCAGGACCTTGTGCATGCTAGGCAAACACTCTACCAATAGGTAGACACAATATCTTTATTTAATCTCCAGCCCCAGAAAACTGAATTTTTAACAACAGCCTACGCAAATATTCTGGGTTGAAAAAAATTCTTTTCCTTTGCTTTTCTCTGGTCTTTCCTTTTTTTTTTTTTCCCTCCTCACCCCACCCCACCCCATAATACCAAAGATTAAACCTGGGCTACTTTACCACTGAACTACATTCCCACCACCTTTTATTTTGCGTTTTTTTTTTTAATATTTATTTTTTAGTTTTAGGTGGACACAATATCTTTATTTAATTTTTTTTTATGTGGTGCTGAGGATGGAACCCAGTGCCTCATGCACGCTAGGCAAGCACTCTACCACTGAGCTACAGCCCCAGCCCTTATTTTTTATTTTAAGATAACGTCTTGATAAACTGCCCAGACTAGCCTTGAACTTGGGATCCTCCTGACTCAGTTTTTCTAGCAGCTAGGATTACTAGCATGTACCACCACACCCAGCTTCTGATCTTTCCATATTAAATAAAATAGGGCAGTTGAAAATTAAGCACATATATGAAAACAATTTTTTTAAATTCACAGGAAAAAAAAAGTGGAATAAAAAGTAGAAGTGCACATGACACTTGATTTTCTTCTGTGTGCTATCTGCTCTGTAACTTCCACATTTTCTACAGTGAATATGTATCATTTTAAAGCAAGCTTTGGTAAGGAAATATGGGAATATAGCTTTGACAAAACTTGAAAAGTTCAATAATGTTTCAAAGCACACCAAGAACTCTGTTGCCTAATTGAGATTTCCCTTGGGATATGTAACCATGACATTTCAGAAATGCCACAAGGATGGGTGAATAAAAGCTCTTCAGAACTCAGCTTTCTAAAATTAGTCATGTGTATTCCTAAAAATGTCTATTCTTTTTAGCATCGACAATGAGAGGGATGTGACATTGTGAGGATCCTGATTCTGATTCTAATTCATTGCCCCATTCAAGCTACTATACTTCCCTTCTAGTCATTTTCCTCATCCAGCATAAAGGGATAATTTTCATAATATATTCTCAGTGTGTGATAAATGCAACTGTCAACTGAAGAGTATCGGGAGCAGAATTCAGCCTTATATTATAAAAAGCATCTACCACAAAGCAGGTGTTGATGAGGAAGATGCTTGAAAATTAAAATACCTAAAGCAATAGAATTATTTCGCTTAGTAAGATACATGCCTCTGTCTATTCTTCTCCCTATCCTTTTCTTTTTCTTTTTTTTTTTTTTAATGTACCTTGTTTAAGGAATAAGCTGTCCAGGAAGTACCACCTCCCAAGATGTAAATCCTCTGCCCATCATGAGCAATTTCATGTCTGTACCTGAAAATATACCCCCCAAAATATTTTTAATTAAGTTAAAAATGATCTAACTAAGGTTTAGCTATAATATTTTTATTTCATCATTATTTATAATAAAAATTACTGGGAATAACCTAAGTGTTTAACCACAGTGAAAACTGGTTAAATGAATTACAGAATACACATAAATGGGTTAATATACAATCAATAAGAATGTAGGCACCAAGGAGATTAATATATTGAGAACCTCTTTTCGTGATATTTACTGAAAAACCAAACAGTTACATCAAAGTAGACAGGCCATAATCTCATTAAAAATGTATAGATATGCAATACACATAGAAAATGACTATAAGATATAACCTAAAATGTTAATCCTAGTAATCTCTAAATTTAATTTTTAAATTTTTTTCATTTTTGCTTATTTGTATTTTCTAACATCTTTTTGTGATAACTTTGCATAAGGGGGAAATGGTTACAGTTTTATTTTTGCAGTGCTGGGGACTGAACTCAGGGGCTCATATATGCTAGGCAAGCACTCACCCCTGAGCTCAGTCTTTTTATGGAGTTTTAAAAAGTGATCTTAATTAGAGACCCTATACTGTGAGTTTTCAAATTAGAACCCTTATTTTGCAGAAAACTATGCTATATAGAACTGTGATATGAAATATCTACCAGGATTTTTATCCAGGCAGTCTAGTCTAGCTAAAAGCTGAAATAATTTATAATATGTCCATAAAATGATTCAAAGAAGGCAACCAGGTGAAACTACTTTGAAATCTACTTCCTTCTTTCCCTAAAAAATCTAGTGCGGATAAAATAAATTTCATTGAAATCATTCCAGTATCAGGCTGTCTCCCAAGTCTTCTCATGGGAGTTTTGCGATAATCACCCACTAATATACCATACAAAAGATAAATATTATAGGTGCTTCCTTAGCATCCATAGCCATTTTGTTTAAAGGCAAAGAAGAGACACTGGATAGTCTAAACAATGAATAAAAAAAATTTAAACTTGAGGGGAAATGATTTCAAGTTTTTTAAGGAATTCTAAGAGGCAACTATTATTAGGAAAGGAAAGTGAAAGGTCTAGGACTACTAGTAGAAAGCCACTAGAGAGAACTATGTGACATTGGAATGTTTAACAGAGCATTTAAAACAAATAATCTTTTTCACCCATCCACCCATCCAATCAACATTCATTGATCACCAATACGAACTTTTGCTACCATTGGTTTCTTCTTCAAAGTATTACAGAAAGTTAAAAAGTGTAAAAGGAAATAACATGAAAACACTTTACAGTTCAGGGGAAAATGTCATTTTCTCACTAGAATACCTTTCTTTACTGCTGACCTGAGATCTCACAGCCAATTAACTATTGTAATCAGGGCATTGGATTTTCTTCACATTACCAATATTCTAAAGAGATCCAATCTTAGTATGCTTTAATATTAGAAGCTTACCTCTCTTCTGGCAGGTCACAGGATAGGTTGTTTGGTTTCAGTTGTGTCCACTCTCTGGTATTGAGATCTAACTTGTGCAGGTCTGTGCTGTAAATATAGCCAGTTGTCCCTCCAAAGACATAAAGGGAGCCATTGATGATAGCCATTGCCTGGGTAACAAGGAAAAGTAGACAAGAATGACTTGTTAACACTTTTTAAAAATATATATATCTTTTTAGTTATAGATGGACACAATATCTTTTTTTTTAAAGAGAGAGTGAGAGTGAGAGAGAGAGAGTGAAAGAGAGAGTGAGAATTTTTTAATATTTATTTTTTAGTTTTCGGCAGATACAACATTTTTGTTTGTATGTGGTGCTGAGGATCGAACCCGGGCCGCACGCATGCCAAGCGAGCGCGCTACTGCTTGAGCCACATCCCCAGCCCCTCTTTTTTTATTTTTATGTGGTGCTGAGGATGGAACCCAGTGCCTCATGCATGTGAGGCAAGTGCTCTACCACTGAGCCACAACCCCAGCCCAAGAATGACTTAACATTTGATTACAAAATGTAAACCTGTTAAATGCCCCAAATCAGGTTTTATGAAATTCTCTTGAACTTTGTTTGTTTGTTTACTGGGGATTAAACCCAGGGGCACTCAACCACTGAGCTATATCTCCAACCCTTTTTTGTTTGTTTGTTTGTTTTGTTTTTTATTTAGAGACAGGGTCTCGCTAAGTTGCTCAGCTTTAAGTTGCTGAGGCTGGTTTTGAACTGGCAATCCTCCTGCCTCAGCTTCCGGAGCGCCTGGGATTATAGGTGTGCGCTGCTGCACCCAGATCTCTTTTACTTTTTAACCATTAAAAATACCAGACCCAGGGCTGGGATTGTGGCTCAGGGGTAAAGCACTTACCTCACAGTTATGAGGCACTGTGTTCGATCCTCAGCACCACATAAAAATAAATAAAGGTATTGTGCTCATCTACAACAAAAATATATTAAAAAAAAAAAAAAACAGACCCTAAAGCTGGGTCAGTGGTACATGCCTGTAGTCCCAGTTACTTAGAGAGCTGAGGCAGGACAATTGCTTAAGCCCAAGAAACAGAGGCCAATCTGGGCAATACAGCAAGACACCTTGTCTCAGAATAATAAAAAATAAATATCAGACTCTCAAAGGAGTAAAGATTTTGAGGAATCTAGGTAATATTTTTAGAACCTGGAGATTCCCTTTAGAATGGTAAAGTTTTGTGAATTCTACCTAGAAAGGCAAGGAGAAATGATTCTTAGAGTCCTAGTCAAGAATGTATAGATCATGACATGAACATTTCCACTGAAAGCTACTTCTCTTTCTAAGCAATCTGAAGAAAAATGTTCTCAAGAAGCAAAAGCAGAGATGAAAATAAGCCATGAGAATTCTGTAGATAGGAAGGCTAGAGTTGGCAGTCTCAGGAACACAATAGCGTCCATCAATCTCTTCTTCAATATAAATTCAGCTATCGTTATCACTGTGGTCGGATAGAGAGTATGGTCCAGTATGTGCCCCTTTCAAAGTTAAAGTTCACAAGCTGTTTATAAGTACCAGTACCAGTTAGTCAATAAAGAAATCAAACCGTGGTATTTTGACTTAGTCCATTATTTTCAAAGAATCTCTAGAGTGGGCAGCTCCCTATCTTCCTGGATAAAACTTTGCAAATCTAAGGTTGAAGCACTGGAACCTAAACTAACCTGCACAATGTTTAAGCTCATGTAAAAGCCTCTTAACCAAGTATAGGGATCATCTACTGTACTACTTAGGATTCTATGAAGAGCCTTCTCGCCCATCATTCTAAAAATGACAGGTTGCAGACCGTCCTAGAGCCCAGTCTCTCATTTGGTGTGGAGATGAGGTGAGGTTCTAACATTTAAAGAAACTTCCAAACAGGCCTAGATGATGGCCCTAAACTGGATTAGAAACAAAGAGTGAAGGAAAAAGGAGAGAAATGGCAAAATTAAAGTTTCACATCAGAACTGAAAAATCAAATATTAATCATACTGAATTCATTCTCCATTTTTAAAAAAGACCAGCAGCATGTTGCGTGCCTGTAATCCTACAAACTCGGGAGTCTGGAGCAGAAGGATTGCAAGTTCAAGGCCAGCCTCAATAATTTAGCATGATCCTGTCTCAAAATTGGAAATTAAAAACAAAACAAAAAAGGACTAGGGATGTATGTAGCTCAGTGGTAGAGCACCCCAGGTTCAATCCTCAGTAACCATCCCCCTTAAAAAAGTGGCAATATAAATATCCTGACACCGCTAGAAAAATATGAACATACAACCACAGTAACTGGCCAGACTGTTACCTGTCCATATATACGACTGGGTTTCTTCCCCCGACAGCTGAGTAAAGCCCATCTCTTGTACTTCACATTACAGACATGGACATCATTGCCGTTGCTCTCACCAAATGGAATGCCCGTACCTCCAAACACTAACAGGTTGTTTCCATGCAGCACAACTGAGAAGGAAGCACAAATTCCATTTACGTATTGGCTGGCTACCTGGAATGTGTTCCCACACAAACTCAGAATAGCTGAAAAACTAAAAAATGTCTAGTGATCTTGTAAGCTAGCCCAACCATTGGCTATTTTATCTAATAAGCAACCCAACATCTAACTACTATAAAGTTCTGCAGAAAAAGGTATAATTCATACTGTGTGGACTATATCATATAGTTTCACCATTAGGAGTATGATAACACAGTCAGTATGTATCTATGAAATCTATTAAATGCCATGTATACAGCAATGCTGAGTTCTATGAACTATAATATGCCACTGTTGCTCAAGACAGTTCAAGTATGTGATAAAGTAGAGGAAAACCAAAAATATCATAAACCCCAGGGGACTCAGGATGAAGAGAGTACAGGATCATTCAGTGTGTGTCAGAGAAATGATCTCCACATTTAAATTGTGGTTTCTGACATCTTAATCCCTTATCAAATACTACTATACTAATATACTGCATACTAATATCCTGTAGGGAACACTCTCTCTTCTGTTCCTGCCACCCCACCAACACACACGTTCTCCTTTCTCTCTCCCCCTTTTCTTTCTCTCTCTCATGCCTGTTTTCTCCATCTCTCAAAATAATACCACTGAATTATTTCAGTGGCTTTTTTAAAAAACCATATTTTAAACTGATACACTATAGTGGTCAACAGCTGGGCTCTAGAGCCAGCAAGAGTTGTCTGTGACCTTCAGAAGATATTTAACTTCCCTAACTTAACTTTATTTTCACAGCAACTTTACGAGGCAGGAACTATTATTATCTCTCCCATTTTTATAGATGATTAAACAGAGGTGGAGAGCAGTTCAAATAACTTGCTGAGGGTTTCCTAAAAAGAACCTTGCCAAGCTGGGATTTAATCCCAGGCGGTTTGGCTCCAGAACCTTCACTCTTAACCATTAACCTTAGGGACTCTCTAAAAGTCTCAGTTTCTTCATTTGTACAAATGGCAATCACTGTAGTAACTGCATCACAGGGATGCTGTAAGGATTAAACAGATAATGTGTGTTAAGTATTTCAATAGCTATTTACTCTCATCATTATAACCCCATTTATTGATCTCTGAATACATTTTGCCTTGCATATTATGATGCTTTTTATTAAAACCTCTGAGATATTATTAATCCAATTTTATAGGTAAGGAAATTAAAGCTAAAACATCTGGCAGTAAAATGATATATAAATGGATTCAAACTCAGGACTTAATTCTAAATCACCACGCTATATTATTACCAGAGTAAAATGCATATTAAAAAGGTTTAACATATTACAATGTTATAAATTATTAACAAGGAACATGTAGATAGTGAACCTGGACTCTCAGATATTTCATAAAACAAAAAATTCAAAACTGTTTGCACTCACGTGACATAGATGCCAATTCCCGGGGCATGTAGCCATCTGTGCCCATCTGGTGCCATACTCCTGTTGCAAAATGATACCTCCAAAGCTCCCTGAAGAGAGGATAGTCTTCATTATCTGGCCCTCCCGATTCATCATAGTCTGGGTTATAACCTCCAAACACATACAGATTGGTATTATCTGCCACACAACGATGTCCACTGCGTGCTGGTGGAGGTCTGTGGCCTAGGAGAGAAGAAGACCGTTTTCCACAAGTGGCCCACCAGATAGAAAGCACAAACAAAACTGGATAACAACCATTTGAGCTTTAAAAGGGAATCAGGTAAGATTTATAACATGGATGTACTTTTCATTTGTTTAGGTTATTTTATACATTCGCACATACTACTTAAGATTTAAGGAGCTAGTCTCCATTTTTATTTCATATGACTACTTTTAAATTTTAGTAACTGTAAAAAGATATTTCCCAAGGAAGGTTGCATAGCATGATAAACTCAAGAAAATGGCTGACAACTTGGAATTTTCAAGAAAAGAAAGAAATGAGGCTTGGTAATCTAAAAACTAACAGGATAAATTTCTTATTTCCTTAGAGAAAAAAACACAGGCAAACTAAACTGTGAATATTAGAGAACTACATAAATATAACCACAAATGTGAATGAGTCATGTATAAATAAAAATACACACACATAAATCTATGATTTTTCCACAATATATACTTATATACTTTAAAAGAAAACTGGCTTTCAAGGGGTCAAAGAAAAATTTTAAATTTAAATACAGTTCCAGATATTTAACAAAGAATATCCTTACATGTATCTCAAATAATATTTTTCATTCTATTAAAAGTAAGACTAAGAAAAGATATTTCTATAATTTATATTTGAAAGCTCTCTGAGGTTTAAATTATATCAACTAGTTCACTAAAATATACTTTAAGTTTATTTTAGAGTTAAAAAAAACCCAAAACTTTATATTATTTCTATTATCCTTACAAATTTTATATTAATCCACATAAACCCTTAAAGAACTATAGAACAAAGATCCTTAAATATATATGGGATAGAACAATACACTACTGTAGCTGTCTATTATCCTAAAGATTAACCTACTTTCACATGTTAGTAATAGATTCCAGTATAATATTAATTAATATGTAGGGTACTGTTAGACATTTGATAAACATCACCAACCTAATATAGGCCTTACATTATTTTTTAAAAATCAAAATCCCACTTTCTAGGGTATGCTTTTAAATAAGAACTGAAAAGAAATTTTGCACAGATCTAGAGCAACTAAAAATTTGATGGTTCCTTACTGCTCAAAGACCAAGACCTTGGCCCAGGATTTTAAGGCCTATTTTCTCTCTCTTGCCCCTCTTTTTGGGAAACCCAGAGTCCTTCCCTTATTCTTGGCCTGGCCCTTCAGTCCCTAGTAGATAAAATGCCTCCAAATATCCCTTGCAGCCCTTTCTCATTAAGGACCTAGGGCCCTTCTGATTTGGGACCATACTCCTCATATTCTAAGGTAGATGTATACAATTAAAAAGATAACCATGTAAATACATGAATATAACATGCAGTAAACTAAAATCAGTTGGTGTAATTACCAATGAGCCACAATTTACCTTAAATGAAGAATTCAGTTTCTCTTTCTAGGGCTCTGAAAACAGAAGAGTGTGGTATGGAAGAAAGAGCCAAGTACCCTTCTCATATCCAGGTCTGAATCCAGGTTCTTTCTGTCTTCTACCTTGAGCAAGTCACTGACCTTTACTGAGCCTCAGCCTCCTCATCTATATGTGGGGATATTATTACTGTACTTTACAGATTTATTTATGTTAAAATGTGTATTGGTTTAAATATGCATCTTTCCAGAAGGCTGTGAACTATTTGAGGGAAGAGGAAAGTATTTGTATTCACCTTCCTATAACCAAGCCTAGGCACAAAGAAAAACACTGATCAAAGTTAGGAACCAGCTAATTTGCATTTAATTCTACTCCACTCATTTAATCAGCTTGTTTTCCTCTCCAAATAGAGAATAGCTCAAAGACAAAGATCATGTGTAATAATTATCCTATATCACCCACAACACCTAAAATAGTTGGAGATATATTAACAGGTCCAAAGTTTGGTTGACTTCAATTCTGGTAAAAGTCAACAGTGACAGGGATCATCAAAACAGTGTCCCACTCTCTGTGGACTTTGATATTATTATGCTTAAGAGACAGATGATGGGGCTCAGTGGTAGAGTATGTGCTTAGTTTGTGTGAGGCCATAGGGTCAATCTCCCCCACCAAACCAAAAAAGAAGAGAGGGAGAAAGAGAAGGTGAGAAGGGGGAAGGGAGAGAAAGATATGATCTAGGGGATAGGTATTAGATTATGAAATGGTCTTCTCAAGACACAATGCAAATCAGGTGTAGTAGCTCATGCCCATAATCCCAGCTACTTGGGAGGCTGGGGCAAGAGAATGGGCAAGTTTGAGGCCAGTCTTGCCAATTTAGTGAGACCCTGTCTCAAAATAAAATTTTATAATGGGCTAGGGATGTAGCTCAGTGATGAAGTGCTTGCCTAACATGTATAAAGCCCCGAGTTCAATCCTCAGTCTCGCAGGGAAAAAAAGACAGCAATGCTTCCAAGAACTAATATCAAGACAATCACAATTACACTCAAAGGAACTCAAAGAATTCTGTTATTTGTTCTATTATCTGCAGCCAGTAGATAATTTTTAAAGCTATTTTTGAGCAAATATGAAAAGAAATACAACATATTCTAGATTTTTCTCTAAATGACCATACAGCAAGAAAGGTATTATACGTTTACTACCAATTATTTCTGTAACAAACATGACTCAGTCACATGGATTACAGTTGAGTCAATGAGATAATGATTTTATGTTTGTTCATTCATCCACTCATTGAGTCAAAAATGTTATTGGGGGCTGGGGTTGTGGTTCAGAAGTAGAGCACTTATCTAGCATGTGTGAAGCCCTGGGTTCGATCCTCAGCACGACATAAAAATAAATAAAATAAAGGTATGTGTCCAACTACAAATAAAAAATAATTTAAAAAATGTTGTTGGACAGCAGCTACGTACTATGGTATACCAGCTCCTGGTATACAACGATAAACCAATTACTATCTATGTCCTCTAGAGCTTACAGTCTGGCCCTTCGTTGGTCAATGCCATAGCCAGGCACTAGCCACATATGGCTATTAGACACTTGAAATGTGGCTAGTCCAACTGAGACTACGTTAAACCCACTGGATTTCAAAGACCTCCAAAAAGAAAATGAAATTCTAGTCTTTATGTTGATTGCATGTTGAAATAATATCTCAAATATACATCACTTTTTTTTTTACTGTTCATGTGGCTACTTACAAAACTTTTTCCCCACATAATATTTCTATTGGACAGTGCAAGTCTAACCCAATTATTATTGGCCTCTGTTAATAATTTCATGATCTATGCAAATTAAACTACTGAGTAAAGAGCATCTGATCTATGTTTGATAAATGTTAACCATCCTGTCAAGGAGTTTCACAGCTGGGAGTACACAGGTGACTCACTCCTCTTTTTCTAGTCAGAAACTAGATTTCTTTCTCATATTTATAGCCAAGAGCGATTAACATATTAGAGAGCCACTTCATTTTTAATAAATCAGAGGTATTTGTCAGGGTGAATACCATGGATATTAAGCATTAATTTTCATTATATGGAATACAGCATATGCTCCTCAACATTGACAAAAATGAAACTGGGTTTTAGAGTCTAAAGTAGGTCTCCGAATGCTCTCCCAAATTCTCCATGTACAAATCCCTTTCTTAAAAACTACCTTGCTGTTAATAAAATCACCCATAGAATTGGGTTACTTGGTTTGGGAATGCCTATTAAAAAATGCAGAAGTAGGGGCTGGGGTTGTGGCTTAGCGGTAGAGCACTCACCTAGCACATGTGTGGACCTGGGTTCAATCCTCAGCACCACACAAAAATAAATAAATAAAATAAAGTCATTGTGTACAACTACACCTTAAAAAAAAAAAAAAAAAAAAAAACAGAAGTTAAAAAAAAAATGGGGTTAGAGCCCTGTATGGTGGCACATACCAGGAATCCCAGTGACACAGGAATCTGAGGCAGGAGGATCACAAGTTTAAAGCCAGCCTTACCAACTTAGATCCTGTTTTAAATAAAAACACAGGAAAAAGGGTAGGAAAGTAGCTCAGTAGTAGAGCACCCCTGAGTTCAATCATCAGAGGCTGGGGAGTATGTGTGTGCCGAGATATGGTTTAGTGGTTGAGTACTTGGCTGGAATGTGTGAGACCCTGGGTTCCAAATCCAGCACCAACAAAATGAAAAGAAAAATTATCTATACACAGAGATAAACATTTTTTTTAATTGGGAGGATTACTGGGGATTGAACATAGGGATGCTTTACCACTGAGCTACATCCCTAGCCTTTTTTATTTTGAAACAGAGTCTCATTAAGTTGCTGAAGCTGGCCTGGAACTATCTATCCTCCTGCCTCAGCCTCCTGAGTTGCTGGGATTACAGGCATGTGACACAACACCAGGGTCAGAGGTAAACTCACTAGCTAGAGGAGACCAGGCAGTTGCAGGGTTGTGTACCTGGGTTATCTGAGTCATATTCTCTTTCCATTCGCAGGCACTGTTCTTAACCCCAGGGAGTAAGCAGGAACTTATGGTAACCAGGGAAATAGGTTTTAATTTCTAGCCCAGAGGCAGAATGAAACTAGCTGTGTGAGATAATATGACAGATGATTAGGTTGTTCTCAATATTTTCATTATTACAAAGCTTTCTCTACATATTCATATGCAAATGTATGAGTGTTCCTGGAAGTCGAATTTCTGGGTTAAGGGAATACCCATTTGAAATTATTACAGACACAATATTGTTATAGAGCTACACTGCTCTCCAAAAAGATGACCAATTTATACTCCCAGCAATGTGTATGGAAATATCTATTTATTCACGCCCTCTTTAACCTTTTCATTTGTGCCAATCTGATGAGCACAAATTGATGCCAGGTTAATTTGCGTTTCCCTGATTTTACTAGTTCACATGTTTACTGGCCCATTTATATTTTTTCTTTTAGGAATTGCCTTATCATATCTTTCGCCCACTTTTTTTATTAGGTTATCTTCTCACAGATTTTAAGAAATTATTTTTTTTCTTCCAGCTTACTTCTTGTCTTTTAATTTTGTTTATGGTA